TGTGCTCCACTGACTTTTCTAAAGTGTGTGGTAACTATAGTTGGTCCAGAAAGCTGCAGCACAATCATTGTCAGTCAAAAGAAACAACAGTCTGGCCATGCAGACATTATAATTTCAGTATCAAGTCAGCTTTTTCCCCTCTTTCTTCCTGTTTCAAATATCCTTTCCTGATGAAGAGAGAGAGTTTGGTTTCAAAGGATGGCATACACATTTTTAAACAGAGATATAGAATTCTTGAAAGTATGCACATTTTTGTGAATATTGAAATGGCCATATAAAATAATTGATTTTAGAAAAATAAATTCATGAATGCAAGTTTCAGTTACTTCTATTATGTTATTCCTTGGTATTATTTTGTTCTGTAAAATGTATATAGATATTAAGCACTGGGCATCTTAAATACCAAACTTTGCTTTATTCACAAACTTACATTAGGATTAATGAGCAATCAGTGTAGGATATGAGACACTGAATATAATAAAACTACTTGGATGTAAAGCATTCAGTCATAAAACTGAATGATATTAATACTGTTTGAAAAATTAAGAGGAAGATTAATTCCTATCATTAATTTTTCCCAAGGTAATTGGGTTTCTTTCACTTACATTCTTATACTAATAACAGAAATTAGTGTTGGTAGAAATAGATGAATTCTGTTTTATTTGTGAGATCCTGGATAACCAAATAAAACTTGTAAGTTTGGTTGGCACCAAGTCAGAGTTCCCTATATAGTGTATGTATGTGCATTTGTACATGCCAGCCTGCAGTCCTGGTGTATCCTGGCATAGAAAGCTTGTTAAACTATTGGAGTATATGAGAGGGTTTACCAATCTGCTTTAATCTATTTAGCATTATTATTTACTGGTATATTTGGTCCTCCAGTGCCCATTGATTGAGGAACTTGAAATATAGGCAATCTGATGCATATTATTTTTATTTGCCTGCTTAACAGTCTCTCATATCTTCTTCTATATGCAGATTGTTTTGATTTTCTTAATAATTTGTAAACATTCTAGATTGATGTGGAACAACCTTCTTTAATAGCCCGAATCTGCAGAGAGCTGTAATCTTATGCATCTACAAGGTTTCATGTTGGGGAAGGTTACTCCATGACAACATGGATGGTGGCTTTGGGAGAGGGGGCATCTATGTAGAAAAAGGAGAAATAGTTACCTTTCCTCAGTTAGCTAAGGATTCTATCTAGATTTTTTCCCCTAGTAAGTAAGCAAGTGTGTGTGCACACATACAAAACACAAATAGCTCTAGCTCTATTTAACTATATCTTAATAAATCAATGGGAATGGCACTTATTTCATTCATTCATTCATTCATTCATTCATTCATTCATTCATTCATTCATTTTATATAGCTGCCCATCTTACATTTGTGACTTTGGGTGGCTTACAATTAAAACATAAACAATACCGAAAAAACACAGAATAAGACAACCATACAAACAATACAAAACATTAAAACAATTAAAACCATGCAATACAGTCATTGGGAGAGCACAGTAATTCATGAACAGTACAACTATTTTCATTCTGATGTTTATTTGTATATTGTTGTTGTTTAGTCGTTAAGTCGTGTCCGACTCTTCGTGACCCCATGAACCATATTGCGCCAGGCCTTCCTGTCCTTCACTGCCTCCCTGAGTTTGACGACTAAACAACAACAATATACAAATAACGACTAAACAACAACAATATACAAATAAGTTAGAACCGGTCATGGAACAACCATTTGTATATTGTTGTTGTTTAGTCGTTAAGTCGTGTCCGACTCTTCGTGACCCCATGAACCATATTGCGCCAGGCCTTCCTGTCCTTCACTGCCTCCCTGAGTTTGAGTTAGAACCGGTCATGGAACAACCATTTGTATATTGTTGTTGTTTAGTCGTTAAGTCGTGTCCGACTCTTCGTGACCCCATGAACCATATTGCGCCAGGCCTTCCTGTCCTTCACTGCCTCCCTGAGTTTGAGTTAGAACCGGTCATGGAACAACCACTCTCGTGCTTTCTCCATGATCCAGCGAATGTTGGCGATTTGATCTCTAGTTCCTCTGCCTCTTCGAAACCCAGCTTGTACATCCGGTAGTTCTCGGTTCACATACTGCTGAAGCCTAGCTTGTAGGATTTTGAGCATAGCATAACCTTGCTAGCATGCGAAATGAGTGCAATTGTGCGATAGTTTGAGCATTCCTCCTTGTATATGAATCAAAGCTGAAGATTCTAAACAGAGGCTGAAAGTGATTTGCAATATTTCAGTTTGCTTTCAGTGTTCAATGTAAGACAAAATAAGCTCTATATCAAAGCAGCAAATGATCAGACAGTCAGAAAAATCTGTCTCCTTGAAGTTAACAACACTTATTATTTCTTTTTGTATGCAATTAGCAGACTGGGGAGAAAAAAGGGGATTGGTCAGAGCTAACACAATGTGAGGGACTAACCTCCTGGTAGGCCATAATGTAAATTTCAAACACAGGAGTGGCTGCACTTTATTTTACTAGCCCTTCAGATCTGATTGCCAAAAAATGCTTTGGAGCAAACAGAAACACATAGGTAGCACATATCTGCAACATCTTAAAGCAACCATGCCTTTTCCCAGGATCCACAGGAAAAGCAGCTGCTGTGTGAAGCATCTTTTGAAGATTAAATTTTATGTGCTACACAGCCGTTTTTACTATTATTTATTTTTACTATTATTGCTACAGGCTGGCCACAGGGGGCAGGACAGTGATGTCATGATGTACAAATGGCCAGAGTGATTTTTCCTAGGTTTTTTTTAAAAAAAAAATGGGGGTGTCTTCTCATCCCCAACCAGTTTAACTTAAAATAAGCACCAAATGCACATACAATAATTCTTCTTAGGGCTAGAGGGTTTGAGAGCTGCATGCACCTCACAGGCTGTTGCCAACAGATTATCTACTCCTACTTTAAGGTCTACTGCAAACTTTACACCAAGTTGATATCAAGTAATAGATACTTAAATGATACTTAAAGGGACTTTTTAAACCTCTTATGCGTAAAACATATTCAAATGAATTCTTTATAGTACAGTCTGACTTTACTTTTAATGGCTCTTAGGCTTCATAAATCATTTGGACATACCCATGATTGCTTTGGGTTGCCTGTGGCATTATATAGGTTGGAGAGCCAGTTTGGTGGTGTGATAAGGCATCAGGCTAGAAAGTGGGAGACTGTGAGTTCTAGTCCTGCCTTAGGCACGAAGCCAGCTGGGTAATCTTGGGCCAGTCACTCTCTCTCAGCCCTGGGAAGGGGGCAATGGCAAACCACTTGTGAAATCTTGCCAAGAAAACTGCAGGGACTAGTCCAGGCAGTTGCCAGGACTTGAAGGCACAATATGTTGTGTTACAAATATACAAATATATGTTACTCTTGAACATGATTCATTTTTCCAAGGGAGATCTTTTGAATCCTTTGTTTTCTTGGTAGGATGCATTTTTGAGATATTTAGATCTAGTACAGGTGACGCTTAAAAACTGCCAATTGATTAATTAAATTTATACAACAACCTCTTCAGCTGGACTGGGTGAGGATAAGGAATGTAAAGAATATATTCGAAACCTGGAGCCTTACCATACCACCAAAAAATGTGCTTTTAAGCATACATTTGAAATTGTTTCCACTGAGAAATGAATTTGAAGCATTGGTTTCAAGTTGGTGTGTGTATTCTTCTTTGCTTATTTATAGAGTGGAATTATCATTGGCTGAGTTTTCTGGAGGCAAATGCATTTTAAGATATTGAGTAATCTTATTATAGAAAGGAGTTTAATCTGAAAGGAGTTCAACCTGTATTTAAGTTAGTTCTTATGATGTTTTCCTAAGCCTGGTGGGTTATAACTAAGATCTGTTGTGGTTTTGTCTGTATTTGTAAAAATTGTTAAGAACATGATAATTAAAGTCCTTGTTCATTTATAGAGCAGCCCTCTTGAAAGGAGCTCAAAATAAAAACAGAGAAAAAATATATATATATATCTTTGCAGTGATTTTATGAGCTCATGGTTTACTTAATCCCATTTCTTGAACTTCTTGTCTAACTGGTTATGTGAAACCACTTTTCCAATTTCATTTAGCATGTAATAATTAAGTTATATTAGCACTCTCTGTTTCTAACCAGTCCAGTACATCTGAATAGATTATAACAGCTGTTTATTCCAGAATTTGGAGTTATGTGGGTGCTCTTGGCATAAACCTTGCATGCAGTAAGCCTTTCAGTTCAGTTGTATATATCTTAACATTAGTTTTTATGTGGCCCCACTGATGTTCTTGGGCCTTTGTACCAGAACTCTGTTATTACTACTTCAGTAATTTCTTCAGTTGATTTGACTTCAACACTTGAGTTGCAGTGACTTCACAAAAATACTTTATACATTTAAAGTTAGATTTTTCTTTTTTCCCAGGAGGTGATAAAAATATTACAACATTATTATACAATCTGTTGTTATGCTGCTTCTCTTCCATTATAATTCCTGACTAGTATTTATTTCTTAAACAAAATGGGTTTACTAACCTTGAAACATTAGTGCAGCATTGAGTATCTGCTTAATCCTGGGATTGATTTTAACACTTTGAAACTATACTTTTATTTAAACTAAGCTAATATATTTTTCCCAGGAAGTAATGTTTCTGTGACAGTAGCTTTGCATCAATTTTAATTTCTTGCCTTGGTTATGAAGCTGTTATGACAGGTCAAAACAATGCTAGTTTTAATAATAGTTTGCTTGATACAGTATTGCATGAAAACTTAAAAGGCTTCATAAGTCACCATATTCAGTTGCAGTTAAGATTATGAATAATGATGTGTCTTATTAAACTGTCCCATCAATTAGCCAGAAGGAAATGGGTAATACTCCATTAGAACTTTAACCTGATCAGTGTTTGACGAAATTACCTTTTGTATCCAATATTTTATTTATTGTGGGTGTGGATATGCTTGTCATATTAGTATTAAAATATTATTGTAAATATTGTTTTCTAGATGAAGCCTTAGAAGATTTAAAAGCCCAGAAGAAAAAAATAGTAAGTCTATGTATAACTATGCTTCTTGAAATCTTATCTGTACGTTTTACCAATTTAACTGTAGCATTCACTTAGTTTCAGTGAGATACAGGTAGTCCTTGCTTAAAAACCATTTGTTTAGTGACCATTTGAAGTTACGATGGCGCTAAAAAGTAACTCACAACTGGTCCTTGCACTTACGACCATCACAGTGCCCATGTAGTCATGTGATTAAAATTTGGGTGCTTGGCAACCAGCTTGCACTTATGACAGTTGCAGTATCTTGGGATCACATGATCGCCATTTGCGACCTTCCCAGCTGGCTTCCAGCAAGCAAAATCAATGGGGAATGGTGTGATTCACTTAATAACTGTGTGACGCACTTAATGACCACTGCAAAAAATGTAAAATTGGGTGCGGTCAAGTGATGTTTTGCTTAATGACCACCCCACTTAATGATGAATTTTCCGGTCCCTATTGTGGTTGTTAAGCAAGGACTACCTGTATTCTTAAAGGGTATGTGAAATGCAGTTAAGATGTTCAACTGATTGAGCTGTTATTGTCAATTGTATGTGGAGGGAGAAAAATATCTTCTCATCCACAATATCTTTTGAAGGGCCTTCAACAACAGGATTGGAGTAGTTTAGAGGAGAAGAAAATCCCCCCCATTTGTGGACTTGTGATTATACAATGTTTATTACAATCAATATAATGTTTATATGATTTCATTATCCAGATTATTTGTGTATTTTCTGGCATATCTCCATTCAATGTTGTGTCAATCAGAAGTCAATTGTGACATATTTCTGTGAGCATAAAGTCTTGATCTGGAACTCTTTGTTCTTTATTTTTTAATGTTTATTGAAATGAATATGTTACAGAAATCTATCAGCATTTTTCTAATATATTCAGCAAATCATTTCTGTATTAGTAGCTCAGCAAAGTCTTGCCTTAAGTGGTTAATGTTGGTTATAGTTAAGCAGATGTGGATAAAAAAATAGAATAAGTTCTTATGTTCTGTAAGTTGCTGTAAATCCATGAGATAAAGACTAAATTATAATTGCTGATTAGATAGTTCTCATCTAGGATTTAGTACTCGATAAAAATGCCAGCCTAATGTGTCATGGACCTGGCAGAGAGAAAGAATAGGGAGTTCATCTCTTCAAGCTCTGTCTTCCATGTACAGTAGAGTAGGTTTGGTGGATAGGGAGCAGAATGGCAACTGTCTAGCCAGTTGTTCCACTAGGTCCCTTAGCTTAATGGGGAATTGAGTGCAATGAACCAGAAGGGACAACAGCTTGAGTGTAAATAGCAGGAAATTTAGAATGAATTGGATCGGGCACGAAATAAAGCACATTTGGAACAATATCCTATAGTGTGGATGCAGCAAAGAATGCTTACTTCACTGCCTTCACTGTATCTGCATGAAGTAGGTTTGCATTGCTTTTTCATACTCAGGCACCTATTCCATCAGGATGCCAGAAAGGGGGTGCCAGAGCAGGTAATGAATTGGTATGAGCAGTCTGTAACATTCTTTGTAGACAAGGTAACTTGGAGCAGCCTTAACCCCACCTTAACTTGGATTCCAGTGTTGAGGTACAGTGGAAGGATATAGCAGCAGCAGGCACTTAACCTGTTGTTTTGGATTTTTTCTGACTGGTAGACTCAAGGTTGTAGACAGGTGTCTGGAAAGGTGAGGGCTGCCACTTGCTTGGATGTCTCTTGCCCTTCCCGGCCCCACTGCTTCCTTGAGAGAGGGGGTTTATCCATCTCTAACTTAAGGAGACAGTAATAAGACTATCACTAAATATATATTCCATTGACTTGGACATTAGGAACTATCAGCAAGTCCCAAATATATGTGACAGTCTTGCAAATCATGGCACACCTGGATGATACTGATTATCTGGACTAGTTTTACTGTGGCTTTTTGCCAGGATATAGGGCTTAGACTGCTTTGCTTATCTTAGTGAATGACCTTTAATGGGAACTGGATGATGGAAGTTCAACTGTATCAATTTAGATTGTTTGACATCTTTCAATATCATAAACTACCATCTTTCTGGACCACCAGATGGGGCTAGGCACTGGTGGCTTTGTTTTACAATGGTCTTTCCGGTGAAGTCACATCCAGAAGGTAGTGCTGGTGGCTTACTGTTAAGAACAAATCCTACTGTTGACCTGTGGTGCCCACTGGATTCCTTCATGTCCCCTATGCTGTTCAGTATATAATGGTCCTTAAAAGTTTGTGAACCCTTTTGAATTTTCAATATTTCTGCATAAATATTTGTAGTGTTTTCCAGCCTGGTGAGCATCGGAGGTCCTTAGAAATCTCCTTTGTTTGAGCCATGACACACTTCCACATACCTGTATTGTGAAGATCAGACTTTCATAATGGGTACACATAATTCTGTTCTTTAAGCATCTCCCACACTCACACTTGATTATCACCTAACTGATTGAAACACCTGACTCTTAATTTCCTATTCAAATGAATTGATAATCCTAGTGGTTCACATACTTTTGCCACACAAAAATATATAGCTTTGGATCATTTTCCTCAATAAAATAAATGAACAAGTATAATGTTTTTGACTCATTTGTTTCCTTGAGTTCTCTTTATCTAGTTTTAAGACTTGTGTGGAGAACAGATCACATTTTAGGCCATATTTATGCAGAAATATTGAAAATTCAAAAGGGTTCACAAACTTTTAAGCACCACTATGCAGGTAGTCCTTGGTTAACAGCAGTAATTGAGACTGGAATTTCCATCGCTAAGTAATGTGGTTGTAAAGCGTGATGTCATGTGACAGCATTGCTTAGTGATGGCAATCCCAGCAGTCCTTGTTGCTGTTGTTAAGTGAGAATCATGGGTTGTTAAGTGAGCACCTTCTTGTGGGTGGCTCACAAGCAGGCCGGTGGGCGGGTAAGTGGCTGCTGCGGCCCGGTGCAAGCGTAGCCGGTTCTTCAGTCTTTGCTGTAGTCATTGTCTCTGCTCTCCATGAAGATGTATTTAGCTTGCCATGCCTGCACCAGAAATCAGGTCTGGCTGTCAGGGAGTACTTTTCCAGTTAACCTACTCATTGCTGTCTACAGTTTCAGGTTCCATCAATTAAACAATGTTATCTAGTGGAATCCAGGAAGTGTGCTTCTCTGTCATGGAGCCTGCCTTCTGGAATTATATCCCCTAGAGATCTGGATGGATCCCACTCTGATAATGTTCAGGAAGCTATTAAAGACCTGGCTTTTCTCCCAGGTCTTGAGGCAGGGGGAAGGTTGAAACCATATTGAACTGGGGGGGGGGCATTGTTTATATATTTGTGTTTGGGCCATTCCTGATCTTTTTGTTTTTTCTATTTTTCTTTTTTAGTTGTAAGCCACCCATAGTCTTTAGCAATTGGACAGCCTCTAAATGTTATAAATAAATACACGTGTAGGTTCTATGTCTTCTATGTAGGAGCAGGAGAAGCAGTGAGTCTGTCATGCTGTATCTGTAGACGCCAAAGCGCAGAAGCATGACACAAAAATCCATTGTCATCTCTCCTTACTCAGAGGAGGATTTGTAAAACTAAAAAAGGGTTCTCATGAGGGTGCATGCCATCACTGAACTAGTACGTGGATTTATTGGAAGCTTATCCTTGTTTTGCTCCCCTCTTGCCCTCCCGTTGTCGAAATTCCACACTCCCAATTTCTTAATTTCCCCCCTTTTATTCAGTTTTTCTCTCTCTTTTTCTTTTTGTTTGCTCACTCCTTAAACTCTACTGTTTGACTTTGGTGGTTTTGGAACAGAAGTCTTTCATCTCTCCCAGCGGTTTACTAGAGGGAATTTTAGTGGATTGTGCAATATGGTTGTCTGGCTGCAGTAGCTTAGAAAAATATTTATCTGTTGTCTTATTGGTCCAGCCAATTTGTAGAATCTATTATCATTGTAAGGTTAGTTTCAAGAAATTACTACAAACACATCTGCTAGCATGGTCATGTTAATACAGATTAGTATTAAGTTTCAGTTTGTGATGATTCTTTGGGCCATTGTTCCTTGTGTTGTTGGCTATGAAGAATGTCAGATTTTGCCTGTTCTTGGAAATTGCTATCAAGGTGCATTGAATTATACTCTAGCAAACAGTTTAGTGTAGTACTAGTAACTTAGAGATAGTAGAAGACCAAGAAATTTTTTACTTAGTTTGAGTTGTTTATACATTTTGAAGATTTCCTGTATTGTGCTAATAAATAAATGTACCACATGTGCTCAAGTACTTGGGCTGGTGCAACATTTCTTTTCCATTTTCTTCTCAGTATTTCTGAGCTTAGAAAAGTGTGGGAGCAGTGGGGAGGATATCCAAGACCTTATGCAAGGATGTGCAAATCTTTTCAGATGCATTTTTAAATTGGGGACAGCAAACTGATTGTAACCAGCTCCTTATACTCAAAAAATGCTAAAAATACATTTTGGGGAATATGAAGAAAAATAGAAGAAGCAAAAAGTGGATAAGTAAACTTCTGCCTAGATTATCTGTTTCCATAGTACATGTCAAATTGATTGAGAAACCTTAAGAAATTTGATGGTTAGATAAATATAGGTGTCACTTTCTATTTGTGACTTCTGATTGTATGGCCTTTTAAGAGGATTAGAGAAAACAGTTAGTATAGCCTTTGATAAGGGGTTTTGAAAGGGCAAAAATGTTTTGTGGAAACATTCTCAGTAACTTATAAGAATAAAACCCATGTTAAAAGGTCAAGGAAAATAACAGTATGTGAGCCAATGAATTTTGTATGACCTTTTTTTATGTAGGAATTGACTTCCAAGAAACACTTGCACATACTAGTTAACCTGAGTAATATGTTCTCTTCTGTAAATAAATGTTACACTCTGGCATTGGCAAAGAGTTCCAGTGCACCACCAGTTTGCATGCAATAGCTGTCTAGAGCTTATCCTGAGGTATGCATCAATTCTTTTCTGCTAACGCCTCTCCCACATCCCACATTTGTTTGATGCCATCAAAGCTATTAAGGCCAGCTATATCTTTGGCAATACATGCTCAACATAGTGCCAGATTTTTAAAAAATATGTCCATGTAGGGAGTTGGATTTTTTCCGAAGACAAAATCCATACTTGCACTCAGTGTAATTCCACTTGCATTGAAAGAAGAGGAAAGGAGAAACTTAAAAAGAAGCTCTAGGGGGTTGCAGGAAAAGGGGAATTGACAGAACTTATCCAGGGAGGAGCCTCATTTCCTTCTGTGAATGGAAATAGCACTTCTGTTGGTGGACAGACCTTCAGGATCCAACCCACTGTAAAATAAATCTGTTAGTTGATTATAATCTAGACTTTGTTCTGACCTGATTCTTAGTGAGGTGAGAAATATGGTTATATCTTTTAGATCTAATTCTTTACCAGGCCTTCAATCAGCAAATGCTACTTAAATGGTTTTACATTCTTCTTTGTATTTCTTAAATTAATATTATTTTTATATAGTTCCAATCTACTGTTTGCATTTTGTTTTTTAATTATACATTGAGAATCTTTTTGAGATTTGGATCATTCAGAAACAGTATACACTATATGTAATAGTAATAAGTAAGAAAGAGATGCTCCGGGGATGGTTTAATAAGGGGGAAAAAAAGATAAAACAGCTGAAGTATGAGAAAGAAGTAGAATCTTTCTCCAAAACTTAACTGCAACTCATCCGTATCCAATAAATTGACAAGTTATTCCAAAACAACCCTTCCCAAACTCCAGATGGTTTGTACAGTAATTCCCATTATTCACAGTTACATTTGGGAGCCATGTTAACTGAGTTGGCTTCCTGGATGCCTAAATAATTGGGTATGTTAATTTAAAATATTTTCAAGACCTAAAAATCTAGAGTACTTACTTTAAAGCTTTTCTTTATTATGTAACAAATTTGTGGCCCTAGCAAACAGAGATTTGCTAAACTTTCATTTCAAAACTTTTTGAGCATGGTATTTCATGAAATACCCTACTTTTGAGTGCAAAATGGGCTGTCAAGAATGCTGGAAATATTTTTACAGTGTTCAAAATGGACTCTTTTTGCAAAATTCCAAGTCCAAAATGAAAGATTGCATGCTAGTATTTTGTACTTTGTTCTTTATTCTCTAATTATTTCAGAGTTAACTGACTATCAGTGTTGAAGTGACAAGGAGTAAAAAAGAGTAGTCAGATAATAAATTATCTTACCTAGATAATTTGCCTTGTTACAGAATCTTAGGTATTTTAAAGACTGGAAGGGTTTAAATCAAACTTTTGGTCTTAAATTACCTTTTGGGGAATTCTGGCATCTATAGCTTTCTTCCGTAAATTGGTTGATTTTAATAATGTGGATAATTTTTTACTTCCTTCTCCTGAAGCAGCTATTAGTGACATGTATTACTTGCTAAATAAATCCTTGTTTCCTCCTTTGGAGTACAATCTGTACATACTATTTTCATTTAAATAGTAAATGTAAGGATAATATAGGGCAGTCTTTCCTAGTCTAACACCTTCCAGAAGTATTGAAGGTGCTAGAATTGCTTCAAAGCATACTGTTTGGGAATCCTAGGCCAGCATATCTGGAGAGTGCCAGTTTAGAGATGAAGACTTGCCAAAGGATATATCATCTTTTTTAATTTGCAGGAGGATCAGTAAGGTTCCAGCCCTTCTACAAACTATAAAGAAATAGTTTGATCAGTGTTTGTATAGCGTATACAAACATATTATAGATAGCCAGTTTGGTGTAGTGGTTAAGGCATCAGGCTAGAAACCAGGAGACCGT